TTTGCCATTGAACCAAGCAGACCAGACCGCATGATGAAACATATCTATGTCGCATATGTGCTCATGTTGAAGTATTTTGAACCATGTGCTTTCGAGCTGTAACTGCCTCCTGTGCTTCCCGCTATATCCACTTGGCGGTCCATAGCTGCCCTTGTAGTTCACCATGGATGCTGGCAAGCGCAAGGCAATGAGCATGCTTGGTGATGACAATGAGCCTCCCATTGGGCCAGAGTCTTTGGTGCACGCTTTCCAGTGGAACCATGACTTTGTGAAAACTGTGTTGGCCTGCGGAGATCTGAAATCACGCTTGCTGAGCAACTTGCAGCATAGCTGGGACCTGTCATCCAATTATTCAGGAATGTGCACTGAGGAAACAGCTTGTGCAGCCTTGCAGATTGCTCTTGCAAAGCAGCGTGATCATCCATCGTTTCCCGAGTTCAAGGTGGTTCATCGTTCTGCGTGTGATAATGATGGCTATTGCCAAGCACTTCTGTTGGGAATGCCAGGAAGTTCTGATCGCAAGCCGCAGCATTGCTTCCAGGACCTTAATGGTTTCCTGAAGGCTGATGTGGTGCAGGAGTTGGATCAGATGGAAGAATCCGTGCCACGGCCATCCTTTGAAGTCCCCAGAAGCGAGAGGAAGAGGTTGAACCAGGAACGAGCCGACATGTACAAGCTGATGGGAAAGTACTTGTTGAGCAGGCCAACATCCGAGCTCGTGTCTGAAGTTGCCCACTGCGTTCTGCACTTCCAAGCTTGCCCTTTCAAGTTCACAGAGCCATGGAGCATTCAGGTCGCAGGACTTACCTGCGTGGCCTTCAGCCCCTTTGGGAACATGGAAGGCATGGCTCATGAAAGCATGCGCAGTTTCTTCGTGTGGGCCACGCTGATGAGGCATCTCCAGCCGACGCTGGTGGTGGCTGAGAGTGCGCACTTGTTTCCACGAGACTTGCTGGTGCAGCAACTTGGTGGCCTTTATGATTGGCACTTCCTGGATCATGATGGTCCCATTGTGCATGGGTGGCCCTTGACTCGGCCGAGAATGTGGGCTATGGGGTTCTTAAGAAGCAAGGTCATGTTCTGCGGCAGTGCTGAAGAGTACTTCCGCCTCTTCAGCAGATCTCTCCGGATGAATGGGGATGACATGTTCTTCCTGGAAAAGGAAAGTGTGGATTGCCAGCAGGAGTTCAAAGCCTTGTGCCAAAAGCGCTGTGTGCAGCACAACCATGCTGACAGCTTGAAATCATGGGACAGGATGTATTCTGCAAACCAGCAGACCAACATCCGGACGCACGCCCTGAAGTTGAAGAAGTTGGCGGCTGCCATGATGCATGAGAGTGGTGATGATGTGGACCCACCACCCTTGACCCCCTTCATCACAGACCTCGAGCAAAATTATGGCTTTGCTTCGTGCGGAGCAAACGTTCCGTGCCTGATCCGTCATGGACTTCTCTACTCGTTTCGCAAGAGGCGGCATCTGTGTCTCCGTGAGCTGATGGCGTGCCAAGGCTTCCCGACATCTAAGCTTCTCAAAGCAGATTATGAGCCCGCCTTTCAGCACATGGTTGATGGCACGGTCTCTGGCTCTGTTGCGTCGACTTGGAGGAGGTCCACTTGGCACAAATTGCTGGGGAATGGGATGTTTATTCCCACGCTTGCGTCAATCTTGCTATACAGCCTGGCTAACATGGTGCCGTGCCCTGCGAAGCTCTTCAGAATGACAAGCCACCTGCGTGACAGCCAGGATGAGGATGGTGAGGATGGTGGTAGTGGTAGCCGCATCTCCTTGACTGATATGATCATGGCGGAGCCTAGTGGAGCCTTGGGCTTGGGTGGGGTTGCAGTCGCAGTTGCTGGCGACAGGGCTGATGATGCCAATGTTGCACGACAGCAATGGCAGCACTACAATGTGCGGCGACGTTGATGGTTGATGCGAGTGATTGCTGAGGAGGTACTTCCGGCTCACTATTTCTCGATGCCCTCACTCTATTGCTGTTTAGTACTTCCAGGGGTCAAGATGAAACCTTAAGTCCTCAGTCCTCAGCCCTGAAGCTGAAGCCTTTTAGGTCTTAAGTCCTACATCTTAAATCCTAAACCCACTGCTGTGACAGATACTGTCTAGGCGCTCATATCATTACCATGGCGCTATTCTTCTCACCCTTTTGTTATCGTAGTCTCTGGGGCCAGTGCTGGGCATTTTCCTTGTGTTCAGATGCTGCGTTGATTGCCACTTCTTTGATCGACAACAGCGGAGGCTACCTGGTAATGTCTGATAAGAGTATCCAGCTGCGTACTATTCGTGAATCATGAAGCCCGGAAGCCCAAATTCATTCTGGCCCCC